AATCAAAATGTAAATGGTGGGTTCATACACCATGGTAAACCATAATGTGTTCCATGCACTTGTGGATTATTTATACCTAGACATTATGATTTGATGGTTGTTGGAACTCAGATAATTGGGTAATCATGATTGAGCCATGCCACTATAATGACAAATTGAAAGGGTCACCATAGTAATTGCTATTATAACATGGCCCTGGTGTTTCTTGGCAATGAATTCTCCAGTCTGTATGGCAGGTGTCCTTTGAAACTGGGGACTGTTCATTGTGATGTGTCATTGGTGGGTAGATAGGCCTAACAACTTCTGCAGCAAACCATGATGACCCCAAAATGGTGACACATATGCGATATCTGACAGAAGTATGTACGTCTATGGGTTTGGTTGATGACATGGTCATGCACAATATGTCATTTTCTCTCTCTTAACCACCATCACTCCCTCCGCCCCATGAACACGCCTAGATATACCTGACATTCAAAGATGATTCACAAAATCCCACTGTCTCTGAAAATGCCCAATCCTTCAATTATCAGAATGTGTGGGCCTTTTTCCTTCCTTTGACTATTGACTGAGAGTAAAATTGTACACTACCCAGAGTCACATCCATGAGATGGGCAGCTCTATAAATTTGATAAATAAATATCCTAAAACATTTAATGTGGAATGCCCAAATTAACCACCTAGCTGGAATTGGGCAAAGCAGATTTTAATTGGGATCAGCTTTCAGGGTTTTTCTCTGGGAATTTTCTGCAAAATGCTATGCCCATTTAAAGAAGACAAGGTGTCTCGTTAACTCAGTCCCTAAGTTAAGACACATCAGCACTGGAATTTTCCTCTTACAGGCCTTTTATAGGCTTGCATAGAGGTGTAACCCTTGAAACAATGAAGCATAAATCAAGAACACACTCATTCATCCAATTTCATGTTCTTTCTGCTGCTTAACTGCTGAGGTGTTCCTAAGTCTTTGTCTCTGTGGTAAATCTTTTCCCCCCTTTTTGTTACAGCTCACAAAGCAAATATTTGTACAGTGGGAAATATTCAGCCCTACACATTTATACGCTTGCCATCTGCTTAAGGAAGCCTCCACCCTCCCTGTAGGAGGCGGATACAGGCCAGGGACCTGTTCTGTCAGTTTCTGAATCTCAGATGGTTGAAGTTACCTAGCTGGAATTTGTTTGCTTCCTGTTCAGATTGCTAGCTGATAATGCAGGAGGAATGCAATGTGCACAAATTGGTTCAGAAAGGGAGGAAGCAGGATCCCCCTAACCTGGCACCTTTCAAATGTATTTATTCTTGCAGTGGGGATGATAAGAACTGTAGTCATACATGGGGGCTGGGGGAGATGGAAACCTAAATTCCTCTTTCCTCTTAGTCCTTTTGAAATACGCTCTTTCCAGTATTCTAGACTAGTGTTTTTCAACCTCAGCCACATTAAGGTGTGGGGACTTCAACTCCCATGCTGGCTGGGGAATTCTGGGAGTTGGTCCACACACTTTAAAGTGGCAGGGGTTGAGAAACACTGGTCTAGACTAAAACTTCAACACATGAGAGGAATTTGGTCTTTTGGGTATAATTCAAGTGTATAGGATTCCTGCAAAAATATGCTACAGTTTCCTAAGCTAAGCAATGCAACACAGATGTGCAAAACTCTTAGAGCCTTAACATGGAGATCAACATACACTCAAACATTTTTATGTAGAAGTAAAGATGTTTGTTTCTGGTTGACGGACAAGGTTCAGAAAAAATAGTAGAAATTATGAGCACAGTCCCACATGATCTCAGAGAAAGACTCCTCAGGATACACTGCCTTCAATATAAGGTGGATGTGAAGAAAGGAGACTGAGGCATAGTAATTGGGTATGACTTGTCATTGTATGAGTAGAAGCATTTCTGTTGAGCCCTCTCCCCTCTATTTCTGGGCAGTGCAAGAAAAGTTAATGGGAGGGGTACCTGGTCTGGAGAGCAAAACAGAAGCAAAAGTATTTGGGCAATTATCAATATCAAATTCACAGGTTAAAAGTGACCAAATCAGAAAGAGCAGAGATGAGGAAATAATAAATATTTGGGGCCATCCTGCTAGCTTGTTATGGAAAATAAGTATAGATCTTGTGAACAGGATGTTTATTATTGTCATGGTCTTCCTTCTTTTAAAGGAGAAAAGCAGTAATATAAATAAACTTAATATACATATGTAAGTATGAATTTTATTGGGATCTACTTTCAGCACCAACCTGAGGATAAGATGTGATTGGAGGATGGTATGATGAAAGAGGCTCCTCCCAATACTGGCCACTTCCACTTCTGGGATGGGGGGAAAGCTCAGGAGGCAGGCATGGGTAGGAGTTCCTGCCAATGGCCTGTCCAAAACCCAGCGAGCCAAAGCTTACCAAATTGCAACATGGAAGTTTTGTGATTTGACATTTTAGGCAACTGAGCTAGAGGAAAAATGATTCAACTGCCCAAGGACAGTGCCAGTGGGGAACAAAGGGGCACAGTGCTGCGGTGTGTGGAAGTCCATGTGGAAGCCTCCTCCTTCTGCAAAATCCTTGCTCTTGTATTCTGCTTTTTCAGAATAATATCCTGCACATTGGTTCAAATCCCTTGGAAATGCATTTAGGACTGTACCCTTTCCCAATGATTTGTTCCTGTATGCTACAGTCCTTGCAAATTGAAAATAATATTTTTGGCTTTCCTGAGCTAATATTTATGACTGCAGTATTTCCATGGCCCTGTTCATGACCATATAACTGTGACATACAACTGGTTGCAAAAATTACAGGCATGCTATTCTTTCCCTAGTATGAGTAGCAAGAAGCTTTAAATACAATAGAGGAATGGAAGCTTGGTAACTTCCATATAGCAAAGGCTCAGGGTTTTTTCTTTTCTTTGCAAATGACCAAGCAATATGAAAATATTGATGGAGGTGGCAGCAAGCAATTAATTTTATGTCCCTTTTGGGATTAAGGTGATTCTTGTTGATCCAGAGTACCTGCAGTAATTTAAAGTGAAGAACACTGTGCAACGTTTACACTTTTCTATTGGCCAACTGGAAGGTGAATGCTGATGGTCTTATGGTGTTCTCTGAGTGTTCTCAGTATTTTGAGGCCTGTGGAGATGAAGAACTTCAAACTACAGGTAGTCCTCACTTAGTGACCACAATTGGGACCTGCAGCTCTGTTGTTAAGTGAAGCGGTCGCTAAATGGGAAATCATGTGACCATGACTTTGCTTTCCTTTTCCCCACTCTCCCACCCTTTGGAATGCTCACCTCAGCCCTGGGGTTGTTGGCTTGAAACTGACAAGGATAATCAGTTTCACACCTTCAGCTTTTGTTTGCCTCCTAACCACTTCCCCACCCTGCCCTTTAGAATGCTCACCCAGTGCTGGGATAATTAGAAAGAAGGGAATTAATGCTTGTATTTAATATCTATTGGAGAGGAAGGCATTGAAAGCAATGTGCTGGCGCTTGCAGCACAAGCATGCTACGCAAACAGCCCAGTGTATTGGCCATTGTGTGCCTGCTTACCCTTTTGTAATCCCTTCCTATCCAATCTCTCAGGTCTGCAAGGGGGCAAAGAAAAACAACAGACATAGGACAAGGGATACTCACTGTAATAGCAATCATGTGACTGAGAGGACACTGCAAAGGTCGTAAATGGGGGGATTGGTCATAAAGTTATTTTTTTAGCACCGTCCTAACTTTGAATGGTCACTGAATGAGGCAGTCACTAAGCAAGGACTACCTGTAGTTTGAGGAATAGAAATGGTATAGTGTAGAAGTAGTCTCTTTCTTTCTCTCCCTCCCCCCCTTTTTCACACACACACACTCACACAAAATACACATAGACACAGAGATATACATGAGTCACCTACTCATATTACAACTTACGTTGACATTACAACTCAAGTTCTTTTTGTTCCTTCTATTTCCAGGACCAGTTTTACCATAAGAAAAGAGTGATTGCAGAAGCTGAGAGGATAGGGGGAGGGGGGGAACACCAATGGCAAGCGTTGAAGAGTTAAGCTAGCTTCTTCCCTCAAAAGCAATGGAGGTTACTATCCCATGGCTAGCACTGAAGTAACAGTCAGCTGCTATCTTATCCTTCATCTTAACCCTGTTCCTGCCTTGCCTGCTCCTTTATGTTTATTTGGCATTAACCTTCAGAGTACAAAATTGAGGGCCTTTTTCCTGCATGAAAAGCTTCAACATTTACTTCAGGTAGATTCAAGTACTGGTGATTGAAGGAAAAAGGTTAGAATAGACAAGAAATAACAAGACAGCTAGCATGATAATGAAACTATATAAATAGGATGGCGGTAAGAGAAATGGCTGAATAAATTCAATCATTTTGTTTCATGTACCTAGAAAAAAGGAATGACATATAATGCCTTTTGTAGCAGTAATCTCTGCATGGAACGTGCTTAGGGTGCATGTAGTGCCACTCTGTGGTGGTAAGGTGGGACTGCAGAACCTTAATGCCACTAACTTTCCCCAATGTGATGCCCTCCAGAAATGTTGGAACTGTTATCTTCCAGAATTCCTCATGAGCATGCTGAACAGGAATTCTGGGAACTGTAGTCCTAAGGTTACTTGAGGGCAGCTAGGTGGGGAAGGCTACTCTATGCTATACGGCAGCCCTGTACACAGAGATGTTGAAAGCTGCCAAGAGATCCAGAAGGGTCAACATCTCCCTATTCCAGTCCTGCCAAGGTGACCAATGCAGTTTCTGGTCTATATCGCTGATTGATAGGGATAGCTATATATTATCACGCGCAACAGAAATAGTATACCTCTTGATGCCAGTTGCTGGGATACAAGAGTTATTTCCATGGGCATTTGGTTTGGCCAACACAGGAACAGAATGCTGGATACATCTCTTTTCCTATGGTACATCTGCCACTTGCAATGTTGCACTCATATATTTCATTGAAGGAGCCATGTGCAGAATTTGAAAATATGAGATAGAAAAGAATCATGTGAAGTATTTGGCTGCAGTTTTTTAATTTCTTTTTTGAAACTGTCAGGCAATACAAAATTCTGGGAATATTTTATGCAGCTCGTTCAGTCATTTGCAACATAACCAGAACTTCAAATGTAAGTCAGTTATTAGTGAGTCCTTCCCACTGAACTTGATGAGATTAATTTCTGAAGGACAATTGCCATGACTGCACTGGAAGAATTTGTAATTTGTAATTTGTTCTTACATTCTAGCAAATGACCATTTTTCTTTCTATCCTCTATGCTCGTTTCTCTACAGCATTGCAAAGCTGGCAGTTAACTACTGCTATTGTAAATTAATAAACATAATAAACACAGTCATATTTATTTTTCTAAGGAGCTGAAGGCAGCACAAATGTGGTCACCCCTCCCATTACCCTCACAATGTCCTTGTGAGATAAATAGGGCTGAGCAAAAATGTCTAGCCCTAGTCATCCGTAAACTCTATGGTTAAATGGGGATTTGATCCCAGGTTTCTCCTGTCCCAGTCCAACACCCTAACCGCTATATCATATTGACTCACAAGGGGCTACTGTTCCATTTGGACTTCTATAAATTGGAAGCACCCATGGATTGTGAATTAGGCAGTTGTACATGGAACAGAAGTGTCTCTATCTCTAGCAGCAGTATCTACAGCAAAGGAACAGCTTGCCCAGGCTTGTAGTGGCCTCAATTAATGCAGTATAAACTGATTCATATATTTAAAAAGGCTTTGATGTACTGCATGACAACACATTTCCTTTCTAGATCTGTGTACTTGTATCCTTAATGTAAAACTTAGATTCTCCAGCAGTATGGAAAAATGTCCTGGGATGTTTCTTCTTCACTGCAATATGAAATCCCAAGGAGAGAAGTATCCTGATGAATATCAAGCCTTCCTTGTCACTAAATTCTGGTATGATTGTAGCCACTATTATTTTCTTCAGCAGATGTGAAATGAGCTTGCAATGATAATAGAAGATGAAATTCCAAAGAGGGAGAACAGAACCGGGTGGGCTGAACAACTTTGGCAGATGACTTTTCTTGGTCCACATTGCTTTTTTCTCTTGTCTCTTGATCATTGATACAGCAATAATTTACAATTCAGTCTGAACGAGACGTAATGCTTTCTTCATATTCTCAATTACTGAAAAAAGAAGATGGTAAAGTGATTTGGCAGTATCATAATTCAAGAAAAAGAACGGGGAAGATACATGATGAATATAATGCCTTTAATTTTCCAGATATTTTATTTATTATTAATTTGTTATTTACTAAAATGTTTATGATGTATTTTAAAAATTTAAAAGTTACATGCTATTGGGAGAGGACAGAGTAGAATAGAACAGAAAATTCAAATAATTCTGAAATTTACCCATCATTATCAAAATAAATAGAGCCGGTTTGGTGTAGTGGTTACGGCATCAGGCTACAAACCAGGAGACCATGAGTCTTAGGCACAAAGCCAGCTGGGTGACCTTGGGCCAGTCACTCTCCTTCAGCCCTAGAAAGGAGCCAATGGCAAACCACTTC